ACAGATACAGATACAGATACAGATACAGATACAGATACAGATACAGATACAGGCTTTGATAAGTTTACTTTTATTTATTCATTTAAAGTTCCTTTAAAGTTGTTTTCGCTTTGTAGATTTCACTTAAGGAGGTTTTTACTCTCACTTTCATTTAGTTGCTGCACATATCTTTTATTTATATTCATTTTAAGCCATCCTTAAGTCGAAAACACTTTAACACTCTTAAGTCTTACATTGAATAGACTCAATTCGCACAATTGCCTGCCTTGACCAAGTTCGCATTTCATTTAACTTTTCAACTATTGTTGCTGTGGTAGTTGTTGTTGTTCGGCATTCGCACTGCGTTCCAAGGTGCTGCCCCAAATTTGGCTCGATACGTATTCACGGCACGACGCCAAGTATTGTCCCTGAATTTGTGGCGCCTTGAATTGAATTTGTTGCACTCGTTAATTCTATTAATTTCATTTTTCATTTATTTGTGTCTCTCTTTAGTTGTGCTGTCTTTTGGTCTTTCAATTGCTGTCAACATCGCCTCTGCTGACTTTCACTGTCTTCAACATAAGTATATATATGTATATATATTCTATATCTATTGTACTTTCTTTATTCACGTATTGTTTTGGCTGTTGTCTGCTGCTGTCTGCTGTTGCTGTTGCTGTGAGTGCGGCAACCCCGAAGCCCCTCAATGTCCGTTCGGCAACTCTTTTGCCATTTCCTTGACAATATATGCTGCAGTTGTGCTGGCCAATGGCCATACTAATTGCTCTCCACTGGGATTTGCACTGCTCGGAATTAGAGCAAACCAATACGAGCGAAACTTAAATAGTCTTGAGCTCGAAAGTGGGTCATTAAAATGCGATACCCCAAGGCAGGGCATGGGCACTAGAGGCTGAACACACTCACTCTACCTTTTCTCTCTCTCTCTCTCTCTCTCTCTCTCTCTCTCTCTTTCTTTCACACTATCTCTCTTTCTCTAGCTCTGCCTGCGTCTGTGCGATTATGTGAGCTCAATGGACACAAGTCAAGGCGCTCGAATTGCTTGCCAAGCTCTTCTGAAGGCAACTCGATATGCAATGCGCTGAAAAGTGGACATGTAGTCGTTGTCGTTGTTGTTGTTGTTGCCATTGTTGTTAGTGTTGTTTGCTGTTATTGCATTTGTTGTTAGCATATTAGTTAAAGCCGTTTTATGATAAGTACTGGCTGTGATGGCATGAGGTGACAAAGTTCATGCCTGAGGTTAGCACGAAGCGAAAATGACTCCACATGCGCTTAGGCTTAGGCTCTGCTAATTGCTTAACTCCATTGAAATGAACATACATACAGACATATATGCGATATGTTTGTGTGCACAAGACACATAAATAGCTATGCTTTGGCTAAGTGAAGCTTATGTGTGCATTAATTATATCATAATTTAAATGGAAAATAATGGGCAACATCGTTTGAGTTTAGAATTACTTTTGTTAAATTTACTGAATGGGAATTACACAAGTACGATGGAGTTAGGCACAAATGTATGAATTTGACATGAAAATGTTATGAATCGGTGGCAGTTTATAAGAGCTGGGACAAAATAAATCTGTAGTTGTGCGCAAATGGGAAATATCTCTTTGACTCTGATGACAGAATGATGACAGAATGGAAAATATTGTCTAAATGCCTTTTGTTAATTTGGGCATTTATTTATTTATTTTTTATTTAATTATTTATTATCCTAATTGGTTTTTGGCATACATAGTATATTTGATATAAATTTATAAAAATATATAAAAATTGTTGGTCCCCTTGGCGTATACTTGATATATTGCATATGAAAACAGCTTATCTATTTATGTACAAATTCCAACTACACAACAAAAAATCAGAATAAATATATATGTATGTATATATATGTACAAACTCCAACTACACAAAAAAATAAAATAAAAAATAAATAAATATACAAAAAAAAAAAAAAATAAATAAATCATCGAATAAATACTCAAAGCTGACTTATCTAAAAAATTATCTACTACTATCTGCGAAATCTGCATTCTTGCTCAATTGCATATCCACACCTATAACAATGCAGTATTATATATGTAAATATATGAAAAATTTATTAACTTTGTTAATGGTTGAATTTTAATGAAGCTTTGTCTATTATTTGCACATATTTGTGCTGTGTTTGCTCGTTAAACTAGGCGCATCAACGTGTCAATGCGTGTGTGTGTGTGTGTGTGAATGGGTGTGAATGAGTGTGAGTGCAAAACGGAGTCAACGATTTTGATTTTCTTCACGCTCCAGTTGCAGTTCTTGCCAATGCGCATAGACTTACTAATTAATAAATTATATGCTAAATCAACTTACCGTAATTGATTGATTTCGTAGCCTCTCTCTCTCTCTCTGTCTCTTTCTCACACACACACACACTTTGTCTGTGCTTCTTTCACTATATGTATATTTAGGTTGGCTTTTAAACGTTCAGAATTCCATTTCTTCTTTTTGTGATGTTTAGCAAAAACTCATTAAAATGTAAATTCCAGCAATTTATTGGTGTTTCATTCGTTTGCGCGTTTACTTTATAAATTGGTGCGAACACATCGTAAATAAAATAACTGCATCGATTACAGAAGTAAACATATTTTTGCTGGCATATGCAGAATATTTGCTCCGTGTTTGGCTATTCACAGAATTGCATATTTTGCTGCTGTTCAGATATTTATTTATTTGTATTTTTTTATTGATTTTTGATTTTATGATTTGTTTTAGCTGTCACAATATAGATTTTTTTTATTACGAATTATTTGCAAATATTTCAGTATCCTGGGACTGTATATGGGTGTATATAGTATATGGTTTATATTTAACTATATATATTATTCTATATTGACTGGCACAAAGCTCGACACGTTTTACAATTTCAAGCGCCCTCACAAGACTGAACTGCAAATGGCCCGAAGCCCAAATAATCGCCAAAGAAAACTTAGAAATTCTCTTTAGTTTATTTTGTGGCAACAGGCAGCAGACAAAGCCCGGCCAAAGCGTGTGGTATGATTGTCCATAAACAGTGGTGAATTCCATTCTTACATTTCATTTCGCCTCACCCAATCAGTACGTGTAGAATCTGAGCGAATCTGGCGGGTAGTTGGAGAGATGAGAATGGTAGTTGTCTATATAGATATCTGTTTTTAGGGAGTGTGAAGGTCTTTTGCATTACAGTTGTAGTCTACTTCTCCAAGATTTACTTCTTCAAGATCTACAAATATATATGGTTAATATAGGTTTTAATCGATTTCATGGAATCGCAAAGTATATCAAATAATCAAATTGAAAACAGGCCTGACTTTAGGTCATTGTACACCTAGATTCCATTCTGTTTATTCTTATTTTATACTATTTAAATATGCAAATATGCTCAGTATTTAAAAATTTTTAATATTAAATATAATATGAAAATAAATAAACACAAATAAATAATAAATAAAATAAATATAAAAAATATATAGTACATAAAAAATATGTTCAAATTTTATAAACCAAAATTAAATATTAAATATTTAAATATATATTTTATACTCTGTAAGCCCCGCAGCTAAATTGATATATAATAGCTCTGTAAATAATAGAAATTTAGTAAGTCTTCAGAGCTGCGAACTAAACTCGACTTTTTTGCAAATTAGTTAGACTTTAATCAGAGTTTCATTGCTCGACTTTGAGCTCGCAAAATGTTTTAAGAAGTTGATGAAAAAAATCGATGGTTTTTTCCAGTCGCATTTATGAAGTGCTCACGTCTGCTGGGTCTTTGCATAAAGCACTCGAAAATTTTGTTTTTAAAGTGGCATCAACGCCAAGCCAGACAAAGTTTTTGCCACGCATTCCACTGACAATCTCTCCGAGGGCCTGTGGAGACTGTGTGGGCTGTGTGGGGTGTGTGGGGTGTGTGGCGGGCGACAGTATGGCTGGGGTAACTCAGTGCCGTTTCTAACATATTGTCACAGGCTGCTCACAGCGTGTGCCGAGGTTCGCCTCACCAGCAACGCTGTGGCTCGGCGTAGGCAATGCCTTTCAATGGCTAAAATTCAATTTTCCTTTGATTTATGCATTTTGTGTGCTCGCATTTGCACGGCAGCCCCGAGCCAGCCACAAAACTTCACAAGCCATCCGCATTTCAACTTAAATTCTGAAATTCTATCAAACTGAAACTTGACAACATCTCCAGCTGCAATTGCACTTACGGCTGCAGCTACCAATGGCCCACACGTATAACTCGCTTTGCTTTGCATTTATTTCAGCATTGAGACAGCTCGTGGAGGGAGCTTTGCTTACTTCGAATTTCCACTGTATTGTATTTCCATAGTATTCTCTGGAATGTTTGTGCTCAGGAATATAGGCAACTGCAGCTGGATATTAATTAATTAACAATCTGGCTTGGTTTCTGGCGCAGATTAGTATTTGCACCATCCTCTTGAGTTTGCTATGCATTCACACAGCTATAGACTAAGCTCCAATTGTGAAGAGGAGCATCATATTGAGAGTAGTAAGTAGCCTTATCACGATTCAATTTTCCACTTTCATTGCGTCTACGAAACTTGGAGAGACAGATAAATATTTCGTTGAGGCAAGAATCCTTTTCTATTTCAAAATTCTTTCTTCTCTATTTTGCTCTTTAAAAATGTTACAAAATTTGGTATTACATGAAAATGTCAACTGTATTTAATTTTCTGACACATTTCTGCCCGCAATTAGGCTAAGTATATGCGCGACGCAGCTGCGTCCCCGAGCAGCAAGTGTGACATCCTACGGGAATGTTGCCGTGCAGACGCGCCCATTTGTGTGCTGGCTATAAAAGCGCAGCTCGCAATGCCGCGCCGCTTAGTTGAGGCAACGCAGTGCATGGACGCGCTATGGCCACAATGGAGGAACAAGAGGAGAAGCCCAGCTGCCTGCTGCCGGGCCCAGAGCTGTTGGCCTTGCCGAACTTCGACTATCCGCGTGCCAGCATCACCTCGGCGGCGTTAAGTGATGTGCCCAGTGATGTGATTATCAAATCCCGGATCAGATACGGCAGTCGTCTGTCCGCCTGCAAGGGAATGCTGCTGGAGTACTCGAAGAGCACCACCATCCACGGCATTCGCTACATATTCGAGCTGCATCGCCCCATCTACGAGAAGTGTGTGCGTACATCCCCGAGCGTTGTCCAGTTTCCCTCTGAGAGTGCGTCTGTCTCTGTGTTTCCTTTAGATTATACTGGCTGGTGCTGACCTGTACTTCGATGTACTTCGCGGCGTCGCTCATTTGGGCCACCTACCTGAAGTGGCAGGACTCGCCGGTGATCCTGGGCTTCGACGAGACGCTGGTGCCAGTGCACAAGATACCGTTCCCCACAATTACCATATGCCCGGAGATTAAAATGGAGCGCAACGTTTTCGATTATGCGAACATCTCACAAAAGATCTGGCAGGAGTTCAAGGAGGGCAATGAATTTTCCAGTGTAGAAGAAGAAGAGTTGAGTATTGAATAAGCAGCAAGTAAGCTAGTCTCAAAGCTGAATTTGTTCCTTGTCTATCTATTCATAGTTTGGAGCGTATGGCAGCCACCATGCACATTTGTGACTCGGATGTTGTTGCAAGGTTTGCGCCGATTCTGTCAAAGCTGCATAGCCAGCAAACGGAAAATGTGACGGAGACATTGGTGGATCTGAGCATCTCGAAGAATGAGACGGGTCCGTTTTGTCGCTGGAATGGCCGGTTCTACTTTTGCAACAAGGTCTTTGACTTTGTGGCCACGGACGAGGGCATTTGCTATCAGTTCAATGGACTGCGACCCAAGGATATTTATCGCGATGAGCGTTTCATCAGCTATGTGGATCCGGACGTAGTTGACTTTCAGAACTACTTTGACACGCAATTGCCTAGACTAAACGAAATTCGAGGCAACTGGTCGCTGTCGACGGGCTATGTGGATCAGGGCCAGAACTCATATCCACAGCGCACTGTGGCCTCATCGGTTTCGAAAGGGTTCTTTGCCTTCTTACAGGGACTAGAGCACAATTACGACTACGATTGCCGTAGCTTTAAGCAAGGCTACAAGGTGCGTTACTGTGTTGTTGGTGTTGTGTTCCTGCGCATTCGCTTATTGTTAATTTGTCTTTCCAGGTATTTCTCAACTCTCCAGAGAGTGTGCCGGTGACATCCAACAATTATATTCTGGTGCCCCACGGCCATGAAGTCATGGTTAGCGTGTTGCCCAGCTATGTCGTGTCCACGAATAATTTACAGGAAATTACAGCTGAAAAGTGAGAATATCAAAGACACCTTATATGCACGCATGCACATATGTATATACATATACATATATATAAATATACACATACATATTAGAAGTAATGCAGAGCCATTTAATCTATTTGGGATATCCCTCGAGAATTGTTTCTTTAAAGCTCATCTAACATTATCTACACACTCATAATATGTAAACACTTGACATATTTAATAATAATATTTAAATCTTGTATGTTCTCTTTACAATATCTTTAATATTTAACAGGCGTCAGTGCTTCTTCGACGATGAACGCCATCTCCGGTTCTTCCGCAGCTATTCGCAGAGCAATTGCCAGACCGAGTGCCTGGCCAACTTTACCATGGCAAAGTGTGGCTGTGTCAAGTTTTGGATGCCCAGTGCGTGAGCGTACATCCAGCCTGGCTAGATCATTGTTTCTACTTCAGCATCTTCTCCTTGCAGAGCCCTTGGATGTTCCGGTTTGCGGACTAGAGAAGATCGCCTGCTACACTAAGGCACAGGACGAGCTCTATGCCCTATTGCAGAATCAGACCGTACATCAGAGCGTCGATCCCAATACCAAGGTCATGTGCAACTGCATGCCCGCATGCACCTCCCTGGAATATAACTTTGAGATATCGCGTGCCTTCTATAATCTGGAAAAAACATTAGCAGCATTTCGTGAAGTCTACGAGCACAGTGAGTAAGTAACTATGCCATGGGGCTTTTAAAATATCGTATCGATGATATTTTAAGTTAGGAAAAAATATCAATATGATAGATATTTGATGATATATTAAAAATATCGATATATCAATATTTTTCGATAATTGTTTCTTTTTATTTACTTTTTCCCACAACAAATTTATAATTTGTCAAAGTGTGGTAAAAAAAATATTCCGATATATATATAATATTACATACAAAATATCGATATATTGATATTTTGATATATTTTTAGCAAGTCTAATCAAAAATATTCATATTTACTATTATATTGCTGCAGTGCGATTGGCTCGCGTCTGACCGTCTACTTCAAGGAGCATCAGTTCACGGCCATAAAGCGAACCGTTCTCTTTGGCGTCTCCACGTTGATATCCAATTGTGGCGGTATCTTCGGCTTGTTTATGGGCATCTCCAGCCTCAGTTTCATCGAGCTCGTCTACTTCTTCTCGATGCGCATATGCGGTAGCTGCAGTCAGCGACGCAAACGCAAGGCCATAATATTACCGAAGGAACAGGATGAAGTTCCCATTGATCCATGATGATGAGGATGATGATAGCGATGAGAATATCTGCGTGTTTGTTTATCATTAACCATATCGAATCTTAGCCAATCTTATGAAATCAGCTAAAATGAACTATATGAATTTTAAATTTTGTCTTCTCTATTATATATCGCCTTTTACTAAAACAAGAAAACAATTATTAATTCAATTAATTTTCATATATTCCTAATTTTATTATATTCCTATTATTTTTACCTTCATATATGTTTCACTTGAATCAGCGAATATTTGCTTGCAGGAATCCCTTTGAGCATGCTCTTGCTATTATTGCAGCGCTTATCCATACACATATAAGATATCTTACAGCTGAAAATCGATATGTTGGCTGGGAGAACTAGCTGTGGGCGGACAGAGATTGCTTCGTCCTGCCTTGTGGTGGAAGTGAATTCAGCTTTGAGTATGTGGCAAATGCTAAACAGTGCGGGAGGGGAGGGAGGTGGGTATTCAGAATTCAGCGTTTGTTTATTTTTAGTTATTCTTTACATTTTATTAAATTCCTGCAACAATGTGGAAATAGCAAATAGTTGACAGGCTTTGAGCAGAAATAATGCAATTCTGTGGCTAAGCAAATGAAATTCACATTGTTGCGATGCAAATTTAATGAAATAATGACGACAGCGACTCTGACAACATAAACAAAGAGTAAACCCAGTAACCGTAACCGAGCTCTCGACCAGAGAGAAAAAGCCCCAAAAACCAGAGTACCAGGGCTCCAAAATTAAAGTCCCGCTAATGAGCAGGGACAAAGCCGAAAGAGTGCGGAGTTGCGGCAAGGGCAACAGCGCGGGGCTGGGGAGGGCAAGCAGCCGCAGGCATTGCCCAAAAGTGATTTTGGTCAAAGTTATAGAGGGGTTTTCCGTTTTCCGCTCTTCCGCTTTTGCCATTTGCCAGCAGCTGCATCCATCCGATATGCGCCCAACACAAAATGAACAGAAAAGTCACGTTCCGGATGGTCAGCATGCAGAGGCCAAAAAGTCCGGCTACAAATGAAGCCGCATTCACCCACACACACACACGAACACACACACACATACTTGCAGTTAAGTGTGCGCATTTGTGTGTAAATTAAACACTCAAGCGTTGCCCAGAGCATGCGAAATATTATAAACTCTCATCCTATGAAGCATATGAGAGAAAATAAAATAAAATAAAATACAAATGATATCATTCACATTTAATCATTGCGTCAATCTGTGTGACAAGTGCACAAGAGCTGCTGCAATTGCTCAGCTTTCAATCAGTTTCAGTCGAATTTTTGAGGGACGTGATATAAAAATCTATGTAAATACTTTAAATTATAATGTTATATAGGAAAATAATAAAGAAATTTGAATAGCATTATCATATTTTTCTGATAAGATACTTTCAATTAAATAATAATATTAATTATTATAATTATATAATAATAGTGGGGTCAACAGTTATTAAATTATAACAAAATTATATCTCCATTTATTTTGTTTAAGCTCAAAATATATATAAAATTTATTTAATTACGATCTATGAACGTATTTACTTATTTATTATTATTATTTATTTGTATGTATATAATGATCCGCTAAAGCCTAAAGCTTAAAATGGTATTATCTATTGATGGTAAAGTGAGTGATTATTATCGAATATATCGATTGGGAATACAAGAGTGGTGCCAGATCGCCACAATATTAATTAATTTAAACAAGAATTAGCTATAGCTACATACATATGTATGTATTTATTATACACTCTTATACAATACATTTACAATTTGAAAGAGCATACATAGCTTGTCACATATACATACATACATATGTAGGTCTGAGTGTAAAAACCAGTAACTGCAGAAATTTGTTGCTCTGCCTTACTTAACTTTCTGCTTTAGTGTACGGTGTGTCAGCTCGTCGACGGACATGAAGCCGGTGTCGCCCAGACAACGGAGCGTGACATAGCCCGAGGGCCAGACGGTCAGCCAGGTGATGGAGCCATGGTTCAGAGTGAAGCGTGTCCAGGCCTCCGGTGAGAACTGCAGGGCGCGACAGACCAAATAGCGTATGACATTCGCATGGCCAACGATCAGCAGGTAGGAGTCCTGCTTCTGCTCTGGTGAGGCGCGAAAGAAGTAGCGGCGAAAGGCCGCCTCGATGCGTGGCCCATCGCGGCGAAAGGCGCGCTCCACGCTGGCAGCGCTGCGATTCAGGGGCGGATCCCCTGGGCAGGGCGTGCCCTCGGGCAGCAGCTCGCAGCGCTTCATCTTGAGCGGATCGAAGTTAATCTGCTTCAGTATGATCATGGCCGTCTCCTGGGCGCGCGACATGGTCGACGCCACCACATGATCCCACTTCACGCCCATCTCGTGCAGCCGTTGGCCCGTGCGATGCGCCTGCAGTCGCCCCAGTTCGGTCAGGCGTCCGCCTTCCGGTGTGGAATTATACTCGCCGTGCCGCACCAGCACAATGTGTCGCAGGGCAACCGCCTCCGGCTCCTGCGCGTGCTCAGTGCTCGACTCGTTCGAGAGCTTCTGCTGCACGAGCTGGCGCTGATCCCAGTCGTGACACCAGCCACCTCTGCCCACCAACTGCTGTTTCTCGTGGTGGGCTTCCCGCGTCTCGTTGCGCTCGAACAGCTTGAGGCTAACGTAAGTGGCCAAGGAGCCGCCGCCGACTGCGCCCAGGGAGCGCCAAATGTTCTGGAATTTCATGGCCTCAAAAAAACAATTGCTCAAAATCCAGATTGACGTTTAAGTCTAGCGAGACGTACTGCTCAGTCAACTAGGCCGTTCACAATGATTGAATGTGGGCTTTGTTAGGATAAGTTGAGTATGGGAGTAATAGTTATAGTTATAGTAAATTATTGAAGATTTAATATATGTATGTATTTAAAAAAAAATATTTTGACTTCCTTTTCGCTTTTAAGTTCCAATACGAGAAATTTACAATTTATATCGATAGCTATGAATATGTGAGATGTTGTTCAAGTTATCGATAATGAAATATTTAGTAAAATTTGCCGTTTGATAAGAAATCCTTTAACAATTGAGAAACCTGTGCAACAGCTGCTAAAACACATTATAAAATTATTAAATGTTAATTCATTACGACTTCAATTTTGACATACAAACTATCGATAAAATTTAACTGTGCTGCATCACTAACCAGAGAGCACTTGTACTATGTGTTCTCCGGTTAGTGTGGTTAAACTAAATATTTACTTGACTTATTTATTTATTTACTTCTTACATTTCAAATTGAATATTTGATTTACCCATCTGCATTTCGTGTAGTCGTCAATCGATTGCACAATAATTGCATCGATGCCATCTAGAAATTCTTGAGGACTTTGGCATTTCTTGGATAATTCTCAACTTTATGCAGATGCGGCGGTGCTGACAGCCCGCCCACGTGCCCACAGTTGATTAGCATGCGAAGGAAAGTGGGCTGTATGAAATTGTTGCTGAGAGACTTTGGTTTGCCTTGCCAACGCGATGGCAAAGTTATTTTACCCCTGGCCAAATACTTATGAACAACTCTGGAGCGGCAAACTTTGAGCCTAGCACAATCAGCAATGCGAATCTGAATAAGTTCTCAAAAGGTAGCGCCAGGAAAACCTTATGCAGAGTGAGCTCGGCTATCGAATGCTCTACTCTGAGTATATAAATTGGTTCAACTTTTAAATAAAATATTCAAATAATTAAATTGAAATAAATATAAAATAAATTTAATGTTTTTTAAATTTTTAATGTTTTTTTTTATAGTAGTTTTCATTATAAGTTTTATTTTTATATGCAGTTTATATTTATGACTTTTAATTAATTTTTTCATATATTTTCTTATATATTTTATATTATTTAAAAATAATTTTTAGAAGAGGAGTTTTCAAGTTAATTGTAAACTAAACTCTTTATTTCATATCATTAAATCTATCTGTCTTTCTTGACTACTCTCTGCACAAACAAAAGATAGATAGATAGAGGGGGAGAGCGATAGAGAGAGAGAGAGAGATAGATATCCATATAGATAGCAGTCTAAATTTAGTCAATGTACCGCCACAGGGCATAAAAAGTCAAAAGGATTTGCGCTGGTTAAAATACTTTTACCAAGTTTCTGGTTCATTTAATTTCGCCGCCCAGCAGCAGCAGTGGGCCGGGAACTGTACTCGAAATACAGACATATCCACAAGTGGCTGGCCGTGAAGGGATTCGGGTTATTTTGCGCTCAGTTGGCTGTCAGCTTAGCTCCTAATGAAGTTCCAGGAACTTTGACATCGTGTCCCCCCGGCTCGAATCTGGTTGCGGCATGAAAATTAAATTAAATGAAAGATCTGACAGCGGCTGAACGGGATTGAATTGCAAAAACTGATGCAGCCAAAGACGAGCTCATAGATGCCCATAAAACTCTCATCAATGGCTGAAGGTCCCTTCGACAGCTCCTCCAGCTTATGTGCACTTTTGTAAGCTGCTTTCATTCACGTCCAAAAGCCGCATTCACACTTGCAGCAGTCAAAGCCACAGTCACATTCACAGTCACAGTCACAGTCACATTCACCTTCACTCGACAGCTACTTTCTCCGTTCACTTTTCGTCGGGTTGTTAAAGTAAGCCACTTGAGGTAGCCATAAAACAGATCTCACATTGTTCGCCTTTTGTGTGACCCAGAAACATAAATCTTATAAGATGCACACTGAATGGTGTGCAAGGTGTGCGCCTGTGTGTGTGTGTATGTGTGTGTGTGTGTGTGTCAGGCAAGTCAATTTAAAGTTGTAATTCAAGTTGAGAACTCGTTAAGCTGCGGCCTAGGCATAGAAATCTTAGTTGAATCGCAAATTGCATTTGCCCTTGCTGAAGCTCAACGAACTAAACCAAAGTCTGACATTTATGGAATCATTTAAATAACTAGCTAAAGTCCACACACTCTCCACACACAGTTCACACACAATTAGCTCTTCAATGTTGATTTATATAATAACAACAACAACAACTTATTGAATCAAGTCTAGGCTCACATTATCATAAATTACATAAGTATTTGCATTGTTTGGCTTGACAAATGCCGCATTTGGTTATGTCCTGCGGTCGACAGGGCTGCCCGAAGAGTTAAAGCGCTGTCTGTGTTTGTGTGTGTGTGTGTGTGGCTTAGGGAAAAGGCAATGAAAAGTTAAACAATGTTCGTGGTGCTGTTTTCCTTTTCCGCAATAATTTCTCGAATTTGCCGCCAAAAGAGCTTGGGGCGCTGGTGTCCTTGACACAGTTCCAGGACACTGATGCCTGACTAACACGCCCACGCCCACAAGCACGGCCACTTGGCCCCGAATGGGCACGAGCCGTAGCATAAAAGAGCAAAAACTTTTGATTCTGCCAGCAGATAATTTCAGCGAGCGAACCGCAGCTGGCAAGAGTTGGGGCCGCCGCAGTGGGGGCGTGGCTGGTTGCTAGTTAAAGTAATGCAACGTGGGCAGATAAAGTGCAAAGGCAAATGAATGCAAAACGCGACAAGGCAAATAAGGAAATCAAAATGGCAAAGCGAAATAAGAGGCAAGCGAAAATTGAACATCCTGCTGCCGGAAGAAGGGCGCAGCAGTAGCAGCAGCAGCAGCAGCAGCAGCAGCAGCGCAGTTGCCGCAAAGTGCGTCATAATTATGGGCGGCCACGATAAGCGAATGCCAACAAGACGCACAGCTTGTTAAGGACTATAAATTCCTCCTCCTGCTAGGTGGCTGGCACAATTGATGCCAAGGACTGCATGCGCTGGCACAGGGTGCGCGCCCGTCTGACCAGCGGCATCTGACTGCGCCTTGACTCGCCTCCAATGGGGGCACCCTGTTTAGGGAGCCAGCCGCTCCTGTGCCACTTTGCGCAATGAGAAATTTCCGTTTGTCCGACTATGTTTTCATTTTTCCCCACTCCTTTTCGCTTTTTGTGCAGCTCGTCTTTTTATTTGTCGCTTGAGAGATGACATTTTTGCAAATTGCCATCATAATAATAATCAAATTCGTGTAAATTTGCGCAAATTCAAGAGGGAAATGGTGCCATGCCTCTCCCCTCCGACCAGTCATGCACAGCCCAGTCCATCTGCTCCTTCTCCTTCTCCTGCCCTCCTCCTGCTCGGGCTGGCATTCTGCTTATCCATCCAGTCGGACACTCAGAGCTGCATTTCGAGTTAATAGCTTTTTCGTTTTAGTTTAAGTTGATGAAATTGAAAACATAAACTACAACATGCTGCTCAACATTTGCATGCTCTTCAGCCAGAGCAAGCGAGATTATATAAATGAAAAAAAAAGACAGAAAATCGAAATAAAGATAAACTGGTTTTCATTTTATTATTTTTTTATTTTTGGCAATGCCAAAAATGCATTTGCGGTCAGATATAAATTTTTCGCTGCGGCTAAGCTCTTTTGGAAACACAAAAAAAAAAAATAAATAAAGAAAATAATGGAAATAAAATTGGAACACGCAAAGGTTTGCACGCTACCCATTTAAATATTATATAAAGTCAAAACCGGGGAAAAAAAGATAAAAAACTGAGATGAATAATTTTGAAGTTGAGTAATAATTCGCAAAGACTCCGAATTTAGTAGAGCTTAGCGTATTTAGTCGGAAATTAAATATTTTGACAATTTTAAATGGGTGTAAAAAATATAAAATAAAATAAAAATATGTATAAAATAAAAGTTGCATTTAAATGGAAGTAGAGGATAAACAAAAATATTTAAGTTTTCTGAGATTTGAATTTAAAATATTAGACTATTAATTGATGGCAAAAGCATTAGTAAATTTTATATTTTATTATTTTTCTGAATTTATTTTAAATAGCATTATATATGGAATATCATTTGTACCACGAATCGGACTTCTCCATCTTGCCAACGCATAGGCTTTCCTGTATCAACTTTTCCAATGTGCGTCGAATCGCCATGGCAGCCCCGAGCGAGCTCACATTTGAGTTAAAGTTCTTAATTATATTCAAAAATAAAATAAATTAAATATAATAAATTAATGAATAAGCCAAAAGCTTTAAATCATGGCTTACTAAAGCTGCTGCTGGTATATAGCTAAGTGAAATAAGTTCAGTCCCGATTGGTCAATATATGCTGATACAAATATGTCCAAGTCGTATTTTTTCATTATCTGTTTGCTCTACACATTTTCATTAGGGTCTACCCATATCAATTTTGTTTCCTTTACAGGGCATTCTCAAGCCTCTATTGTCTTGCATAAAACCCATTTGGATGCTTGACTCTTGTTGCCCAAGTTTTTAGGCTAACGAGTTGATAAGCTGTCTCAGCTCAGGCTTAAAACATGTTCCGTGTGTTTGACAAGTGGATCAATAGCCGTATTTCATGCTGGACATTTTTGGAGTGAATCCGGATGTTGGCTAAGAACCTGAAGCAGCAGCCGCAGAGCAGAGCAGAGCCGAAATCTATCTATCTATTTTTGGAGTGAGTCCGGATGTTGGCCAAGAACCTGAAGCAGCAGCAGCAGCAGCAGCAGCAGCCGCAGAGCAGAGCAGAGCCGAAATCTATCTAGCTAGGTATAATAAATGGCTGGCAGCATATATCAGAAGGCGACACAATTAGAAATAGAAACTGCTTGCAGCTGCACAAAATTTGCAGAGCATGCTGCTCGAACGGACGAACAGTTTAAAATATACAACGGGACTATGCACATACACGCACACGCATACATATACATTGGCACTTATAGGGCACACATGGCACACTTAATAGCTCATACGACATGTTGGCCCTTTGTTGACTGGCCTCGT